TTTTTTTTTTTTTTATGGAAAACAATGTTGTAGTGTAGTTCGATATAAAATTTTGAAAAATATTACGGGTCCAGCTACGAAACTTAAATTATCATGTAACCGTCGAGGATAGATGGCCAAACGGTTATAAACTTCAACAGAATAGTTCTGGAACCCTAGTATCTCCCTAAAATTTTATTCCGGTCAATCTTATTAAAAATTTGAGGTAAAAAGTGGAAAGTAGTATTTTTTGAAGGTTGAGATAAATTGGAAAATTTAATTGAATTTGAAATAAAAATTTAATTATTAAAATTTTTCGATATAAAAACAATAAAGTATTGATAGAGCAAAATGGTAGCTATAAATTTGATAGATGAATTCTTTTTTCACTATAATAACAATAATAATAATAATAATAATAATAATAATAATAATAATAACTGTTTTTTTTTTTTTAATCATGTTAGTGGAATCCCCTATCGTTTCGGCAAAAAAAAAAATCATGTTAGTGGAATTACAACACTTTTCCATTTGAAGAAACTAGTATGGTACCCGTGCGCAGCACGGCGGGCGCAGCACATCGGGGTTATTACCTCAAACCTTTTTTTTAAACTTTTTTTTTTATAAATTAATAATTTAATTACAATAGAAAGAGGATAGAGGAATACAAAATAAAACAAAAATCATATATTATTAAACACTTCTCTATACACAACATTATTGGTTTGATTTTCTTTCAAACCTTCTTCTCCACAAAATTTTCAGGGGAGACAGCGACATATAACTCGCCATGACTAAAAATTGGTTTTTTCAAGGATAAGCCAACATGCGATAATGATTGACCTTGACTCTTGTTTATAGTCATTGCGTACGAAACCATAATGGGGAAGTGCCTTTTTTTAAATTTGAATGGTACTCTAACATTAGAATGAGTTATTGTCATCCGAGGTATCAAAACTTTATCACCTGCATGATCGCCAGTAAGAATTTTACAATCGAGAACATGACTGGAGGGTTTAGTTACAATCAATCGTGTACCATTGCAGAGTCCCATTGAGCGATCCATATTCCGCAACAACATAACTGGAGTTCCGACCTTCAAATTCAATTCATGGTTCGGCGTTCCAGAACACTTGATAGTGTTCAAGAACTCAGGAGTATGGAGTTGTGCCACAAAGTCGATATTGGAGTCGGATTTACATGTACTGACTGAACTTAAATACGTGCGTCCCTCAGTCAAATTTAACGACGACATGTATTCATTAATAAATTCTACGATATTGAGTATTGACGCAAGTATAGCTCTATCCTTCAAGTAACTTGGATCGTCAGTTGCATTCTTGAACATCGGAAACATGCTTTCAACATTTTTTGCAATTGGATCATCGGATGACTCTAGTAATAGATCATCTGGTATGTGTATCGGAGAACATCCATCATTTTTACCCCCCAATGTTCCATCTCCAATGCTCGCTATCCAATCAGCAAAAGCGGCCAACTCGTCACGTTCATTTGAATTGTCAGTGCTCCGAAGACGCATATTCTTTGTAAGCCTAAGCACAGTACATTCTCCCCAAATGTTAGAAAAAGTTAATAGCAGCATTAACAATCTCCCGACGACTCCCCTTTGGAACTACCAGAATGATTTGTTGTAAGTCTCCACCAAACACAACAGTCTTGCCTCCGAACGGTTTATGATGATTTGTCGGGTCGAGGGCTCCCATCACTGCCTTAAAAGATGCTTGCACAACTTCAAAACAATGCTTATGCATCGTTGGGGCCTCATCCCATGTGATCAATGAAGAGCGAGTAATCAACTTAGCAAGGGGGCTAGCCTGATTGATCTCACACGATGAATTTTCATGCACAAAAATAGTAATTTCAAATCGAGAATATTGTGCAGTTCGTCCGCCCGGCAACAGGAGAGATGCTATTCCACTTGATGCAACACAAAACACAATTCGACCATGCAATCTTAGCCGAGCAGC